GCCTGGACGTCCTCAGGTAGAAACAGGAAGTCAAACGTTTCTGAGCCTGGACGTCCTCGACACAGGAAGTAATTTTTATTTTGTGGCCTTCAACCCAGAGTGAAAAGAATTTGGCATTGTGCTTTTATTGTTCTAGTCGTTCTATTTTTCTGTTGCTTGTTTGTGTCACTGTTCGGCTCGTTGGTCGGCCATTTTGCTGTTCTCTGTAAACTGGTATGGTATAAAAGCCACCAGAAGTTAGAACAGCAGATGTTCTAACGCTGCTCTCCTGTTCTATCCACAGATTAACGACTGTGTTTCTGTTTGTTTGAATCAGGAGCCACAGCAGACGCAACGTCTACGACAACAGAGCGATTGACCGCACAGAAGACAAAGCCACGTCCATGTGACCGTCCTGCTGTCAGCCTCGGCCTCTTCCTGATCCACAGAAATCTTTTTTTTTTTAACCGCAGGTTGATTCTTGCGGATCCTGATCATTCTGACTGATTTCATCCCTTCACACGAAGAATCTGTTGATAATCAGCTGTTCCTGAAGGCAGAACATACCACTGGTTGTTGTTTTCACTCTTCTCTCCGTCAGCTGATTAATAAGTTATCTTTTATAACAAACTGCTGTCTCGGCTCTCATTACTCATCAACGGAGCAACGACCCGGAGTTGATCATTAAACTAAATGGCCTGAGTTAACAGGAAGCATCTGTAGGAGGAAAATACCATAAAACAGGCGGCAGGTTTCATTAATTAACCTCTAGTTAATGGACGTCTGAGCGGTGCCAAGAACTCGTTTCAACTGGGTCTTTAGCCTCTTTGTTCCCTGCAGGTGGTCTTCGATACACAATCTGTCCCCAGTTCTGCTGTTGGACCAATAAAGATCCAGTTTGACAGGGCACAAGGTTTTAACCCACTGAAGTGACTGGAAGGAACTGAACCTGTTACGAGATTAATAATGAACACCAGCAGGTGGTTCAGTAGAGTCCAGTTAAGGGCCAGTAAGAGTCCTTGCCTGTTTGCTCTGGTGATGGACCGACTAACAGATGAGGTCAGGCAAGAATCCCTGTAGACTAAGATGTTTGCAGATGACATTGTGATCTGTGGTGAGAACAGGTGGAAGAGAACTTGGAGAGGTGGAGGTATGCACTTGAAAGAAGAGGAATGAAAGTCGTGGTAAGACGGAGGACGTGTGTGAATGAGAGGGAGAAGCTGAAAGAAGAAGTCTATTAAGAGTCCAACTCTATTATACGTTTTTAATTTCCCTCCAGTTGATTTTAAAGTGTTTGTTGATTAAAAACTTTCACCAATAGTTTTGATGTTTTCATTATTTATTAATGATTCAGCAAAACAAAATTAAAATTTTCTCTACAAATTAAGATTTTCCAGAAACTGTTGAACAACATGAGGACGGAGCGTAAAAAACAAACCGAAACTCCTGATTCTGACGAACGAGGCACGAAAAGCAGCAGGATTTTACAAAATGAAGCTCATTAACGAGTTAAATCAAAAAATAAATTAATATTCAGCTACAAAATATTAAGACATTAATTGGGATCAAAATAAAGTTTTCATGTTTCCAGTTCAGTAAATGTTATGCTAACACTCATGCTAACACACAGCTAGCTTCAGTTCGGGCGTTAAAGCTAATATTGAACCTCCCGATGAATCGTCCCTGAAGAACATTTAGTTGTTTTTCTTCGGTGCTGAAGGTTTCGATCTTTTAGCTAACGTGCAAGCTCAACAGAAGAGGCGGCTCAAAGTTCAAACTGTACTTGGTTTGTTTTGTTGTGAAGATTCTTCACGTTACAAAACTCAAAATGAGACTAAATGTTGCTCAGAGACTCATTAGTGTTTAAAGTTATCTGCTAAAAGTTTCTTCTTCATTATGAGCCAGACAGCTGAGAGCAAACTGCTGGTGCAGAACATCGCGCTTCGGTAAATCATCCAGGAAACGTTGAGGACGGTCACGCACCGACCACACGGGAGCAGGAAGCTCCAACATGTTGGAAGCTACGAGGCGGTGAGGACTAGTTCCTGGAACGACCCTGAGGGTCTTTGTCTTTTGTCTCCGGTTCTGTATTTCAACACGGCGGTCTGATTCCACACAAACCTGTTTAGATGTGATTCAGTAAACAACAACAAATAAACACGACGGCAGGTTACAAAGTGCATTTGGCTCATTTGAAATGAAAACGGACATTTGTGTTCAAAACGTTGAAACACGGAATAAAAATATATAAATGAACCTTAAATCTGCTCCGATAAGGCACAGACCTTCATGATCACTGATGACTTTCAGGAAGTAGTCCTCACCACCTCGTGGTTCAGCTGAAGCTTTCATCACAGTTAAAAACGAGCAGAGGCTGCTCTCATTGACCTTTGACCTTTCCAGTCCTGGCTCACCCGTGCACGTGTGGAAGGAGTGCGTTAAATTCTTTTGATTCAACGTTTTCAACATGAAAAGTTTTAGCTTACTTTATTTCATTTAGAATGAAAGTTTCGTTGGACGTTTCTCATCCAAGCTGGAACGGAGGAAGAATTCAGAAAAGTTCGTCAGAAGCTGCTGAGCTTCACCTCCGCTCGTTTCTGAGCTTCAGCCGTCTGAAGGATCACGGTTCCTCTGAAACTGGACCACCTTCCAGCTGAGCCCGTCACTTCTGAATTTGTTGTGTTTCCATGGAAACGCTTTGCTTAACCTTTGACCCCACAGATCACCTCAACCCGAAGGCGTTCAGCGGAAGCAGAACCGTGGATCTGACATTCGGTTCTAATGACGAACAGAACCCAACACAGATGCTAACAGTTTCCCTTTACTTCCAGTCTTTGTGCTAAGCTACGCTAATGGTGTTGCTGTCATCGACAGTCCTTCTGAATCCACTTCCTGTGGCAGACGCCCCATCTGTTGCCGTGGAGACGGGCTCCTGAAACTCATCTCCATGGAGACAAACGTGATCAAAGAGATGATTCGGGCTCGCTGCTTCAGGAAGGAGGAGTCTAAAAATAAACGTTTGTGAATGACGAGTATTAAACTTGGTTCCATGTCCGACCCAAACCCAACAGAAAGGGGTTTCTCTGGTAGTTCTGGTGCCTGTTGCTCCACAGGAGGAACCGGGCTCTGAATGGATTAGGGGTACCCGGCATCATCAGTGTTTCACGGTTCTTGTTAGAACGTCAGAACAGAGAAAAATATTATGTAGGGCAGACTTCAACTTCCTGAAACTTCCATGAGAAAAGCACCGACAGTTGTTCTTCTGTTGAAGGTTCTAATGGCAGACGTGTCCTCCAGAACATAACCTGATCAAGAACCCAATTATGTTCTCCTGTCGAACAAATTAAAAAAAAATCCGAACAAACGTTTTCTGGACCAGTCTTGTCTTTATGTTCTGGAGGATCACAAACTGTTCCACTCATCAGATCTGCTGGATTTAATCTAGCTCCCATCAGAACATTCAGTGTGAAAACAGAACTTCAGTGTGGGAGAACAGCAAACAGAACCAACAACTGGTCGGACTCTGCACCATCAGAGGAACCAGTGTTTGGGTTTGATGGAAGAAGGAGTCTTAAACTAACCAAAGACGTTCTTCATGGAACTCAACTTGTTCTGGAAAGGTTCCACTTGTTTTTGGGTCTGAGCTGGTTTTATCTGAAGAACCTCTGGATATGGATGTGCAGAAACACAGAACGTTTGTGGAACAAAACACAAAGACCCAAAAGCTGACCCCGTTAGGCCAAACCCCCCCAAAAAGAACCGAGGAAGAAGAACATGTGGGACTTAATATTGATGCCATGGATTCTGATGTTCTGGTACTAGAACCTTAACTCAGTCTGATGTTAGGAAAGGTTCTGATGTTCTGGTAGAACCTTAACTTGGTCTGATGTTAGGAAAGGT